GAACCCAAAGTAGAAGCTTCTATTTCAATTTAGCCTTTTTTTCTTTTAAAAAGGCATCTAATTATACTTTAATCAACTCCATACTCCTTTTAAATAAACAAAAGAACATGTATTATCTTACCTTTATTTAAAGATGAACGAGTTAAGACAAATCCTTGAGATACGATCTTCCATTTTGTCTAAACAAATTTAAACAGGTGTGCCGATTTGCCCTCCCCCCGCCCCTCTGCATAACAGAAGAACACACAGCAGCACCAGCTTCACTGTCCCTATGGGGCAGCACTGCCCACTATCGGTGCAGCAAGGTACATTCTGCCTCACCTCTGAATTTTCACTGTGTATTTATGACCAATTGGAAAGAAGAAGTGTAGCACATGTGTAATCAAACATGTATGTTGGCGATATAAAAAGAGACAGCAATGGGCACGCACCAACTGCCTACTTCATTTAATGTATGACACAGCGCCCCCAGAGGTGAACCACAGCACTACACTGCTTCACCCAGCGCATTGTTTCCATGTTTGAACAGGCAACGTGTAAAGTCCGTGATTTTGACCACTGAAGTGTTGAAATGATTCAGAAAACAGTTTTATAAAACAGACACATGGTCAAATGTATTTTGTCTTATCATTGTCAGTATTTTACGTGTCATAATGACAGGTGAGGCACTTGTTTCCCCTGACTACATGTCACTGGTTTAGGGTTAGGTATGTACTGGTAATGGTTAGGTTTAGGGTAAGGGTCAGGGTTAGGCTATAGAAATGATTGCAAAGTGAACGGGTCAATGCAATGTCCCTGTAAAGATAGAAAGACAAACCTCTGTGTGTGTGTGGCTCTTCTTTCAGTTCCTGGATTGAAAAATAAGAAACGTTTCTAGACCATCTAAAGCTTTAGATGAGTGGTTTAGTGTTGGGATGGTGGTTGTGACCACAGTCAGATAAAACAAAAATCTAAGAACCCTTCAGCATTCAGTAGTCTGCTTTTAATTTTCTTGTTTTTATTATTATTTAAAATTGCACAAATATAATAGCATATGAATGTTTGATTTTTGTTTGTATGGCTCTGGACTTTTATTGTATTTTTTTTATTTTTTATCTTGTTCTCATTTTTTACCTGACTTTGAAATTGTGACATCTTATGTTTTTATTTTTATTTTTTATATATATATATATATTGATTTATTTTCCCAAATTGCACAGTTTTGTAGATGCATTAGAAAAACTTGATTGAAAGGAGTTCAACTAAATCTGCTTCTTTGTTTGGTGCAGCTTCGTTACATGGAAACATGCAAGAAGTCAGCAAATCTTAAAGCAGTGTCCTCGTTTCCTTAATGTTGTAACGATGATAAAACAAAGAACAGCTTGGACTAATCATGTTTCATACATTACATTATTACATTATTATACATTTAGTTTCTACATCAACAACACAGCCATGAAAGGAGCTGCAGTCTGTGACTACAACGACCTCTTTTCTTTCTACTTCTTTATGTTTTCATCGCTTGTTTTCCTGCGAAATGCCACTAAAACTTCTCCCCTCTTACAAATATTAAACTTTTGATGATCTTGTTCTGTTCTTTTTCTCAGAGTGTCTAACTATGAGATCTTCTGGTACACACACAACCTCTTCATTGTCTTCTACGTCATCCTGATGGTGCACATGGTCGGGTAGGCAGCACTTAAATGTACCTCTATTCTACACTCAAAATGTAAGCAAATACTATGTGACAACTCCTGCCAGCACCCTAAACCTTACAGACAATATACTATTTTTTAGTTGTTTTTTCAGAAGTCGTCTGATAAAAGCTTCTGGATGTGAGTTTTTAGAAATCAGGGCAACTGTTGGTGATTGGGATGCACGATATTGAATTTTTGGCCGATAACCGATACCAGTACCAAAATTTTTCCCCTGTATCTACTTACAGAGACTACAGAGCTTTCTCTGCTGTGGAATTAAAATACAACATTATTCTGCATGCTCTTTGTCAGTTTGAACTGCTACCAAATGTAGATGCTGAAAATGATGTAACACTTCAACTTGGATTATGTTTAATGTCAAATTTATTCATGACATTTATTCTCTCTAACACAATGACAACACTTGAACAGCGCAAATTTGTAAATTTTCACAAATCTAAACTCAACGGCACATGTCACGTTGTGCTGGCGCTGCAGGCATCCTTGTCACTGGGTTGTCATCCAAAAACAGCACCTTATATATCGGTGAGTTATTTTGATGGAATGGCCAATGTCCGATATTTAAATTTATCGATAATATCATGCATCCCTAGAGGATTTTTTTGGTCTTAAAATATAAGTTTGTTATTCATACACTCTGCAGTTCATTAGATTTTGAAATGAGGAAAACTAATTATGTGGGATTTAGAGATTTAGCCCAGGAACAAAAAAGGTGACAAAAGCACCGCTGTAAATGTAAAAAAAACTTGTAGACATAAAATGTAACATGTCAGCTGTAACATCGTGCTGCCCACAGACGTGCCTGTGTTTTAATCAGCTTAGAAAATCAGGCCTGGTCAGTCTTGATTATTCAAAAACCAGACAAAGATTGGTCAGTTTAATCAGCTGACCTGATCAGTCTTCTCATATCTCATGTCTCATGTCTCTTTGAGGTTAGGCCTGTCACGATAACAAATTTTGCTGGGCAATAAATTGTCTCAGAAATTATTGCGATAAACAACAATATCGTTTGAAATTTGACAATAATAAGTAATTATTGTTAAATTTAAGAAGAAATGTTGGTTAATTTTATTTTGAGTGTAGTAGCTTTTTTGACCACCAGATGGCAGTATAAGACTGTTTGAACTGAAGGATGAATAGTGAGGGAGCAAGCAGCGTGTCTCTTTAAGAAAAATGGGAGGGAGGCCCCTTGACGTGACATGGGCTGTCTCTCCTTCCTTTTTTTCCATTTCTCAAAATGGCGACTGCTCGGTGTGGTTTGAGCTCTTTAGCATAACATTTTTCACACAAAGTTTTTAAATAAAAAATCAGTAAACAAGTTCTCAGCTTCTTTTTGCAGAGAAAAACAAGTTTTTACACAAAGGCACGGGTTTCAACCGTGAATTTTGGAGCTTCGACAAGACGGAGGTTTTTCCTCGAGGTTGGCCTGTTAGCTTAGCTCGTAGCTTAGCTTCTCAGCTTAGCTGCTTTTAACAATCCAAAAACGTGATTTTGGACAGTTTAAACAGATTAAAGAGATAAAAGTGAAGGGGAGGGGTCAGTGAAGAGCACCGGAGTTGAACCTTTTGTCATCAAGTGTCTTCAGTAGAAAGAGAGACATAAAGAAATGATAAAGCTGATAAATGAAAATGAGGTTGATAATTTTCATTTATCATGCGATTAATTGATTTATTGTTTATCGTGACAGACCTATTTGAGTAACAATTTATTGACTTAAATCTTTGTATTCTGCTATATTTAGTATAAAATGTAACACTGACGTGTTGATTGGACCCAGTAGGTTTTCCTTGAGAAATCAGTTTTTAGAATTTATGCCGTTGTGCCATTTATGTCTCTTTTTTTCTACTGTTAGGTTGTTGTAGACCTTTAACCAAAGGTAACAGTTATTTATTTTTTGTCAGGCTATCATTCACCATATAGTCTGAGAGTTAAGGCAGTTAAATATTTAATGTAATCTACGTGTTGGTTATCTTTTCTTATTGATTCTATAAGAGTTGTTATAATAAAAAACAACCTATAGATTGGTTTCTAATCACAACAACATGGATCAAGTTAAATGGATCAGCTAAATGATCCTCTTCTGATCTTTGATTGCTGCTTTTTCATTTTTCAGCGGCGCTCTGAAGTATCAGACCAACATAGAGACCCACCCCCCCGGCTGTTTGAGAGCCAATCAGAGCAGCCCGAAGCAGCAGGATGAAGGTGATGAGAGCAGATGCAGAGAGGAGGCCCACTTTGAGCCACATTACCCTCAGGTCTGAGCAGAGGCTGTCCTTCAGCGTTTCTCTCTCTGTGTTTGTGTTAAGGCAAACGTGAGCGCTCGTTTTGCGTGCTGAGTGTTTGGAAGTGTTGGAGGAAGTCGGTCTTGTTTATTAGAGGTGTTAGGGAGGGGCTCTCTACATCAAGGCCTGGGTGTGTGAGAGATTATGCAGTACATGGTTGTTAAACGTGCTCGTTCTATAAAATTTGTTTCCAAAGCTTTAATAAAGCAGTGAGCACTTAGTCTGCTACAAGTAACTGAAAGAAAAAAAAACATAACCGTATTTATTAGTTATTCTCCTGATCATGCTCCCTTTAGTTGAAGCCAGGCAGCACGGTGGTTCAGTTGGTAGAGCTGATGCCTCTCAGTGAGAAGGTCGTCGGTTTAAATCCCAGCTGGGGTACGACCTTTCTGGGTGGAGTTTGCATGTTCTCTCCGTGCATGCGTGGGTTTTCTCTGGGTACTCCGGTTTCCTCCCACAGACCAAAAACATGCATGTTAGGCTGATTGGTAACTCTAAATTGTCCTTAGGTGTGAGTGAGAGAGTAAATGGTTGCTTGTCTCTATTATGTGTCCCTGTGATGGACTGGAGACCTGTCCAGGGTGTCCTCCGCCTCTCGCACAGTGACTGCTGGATATGGGCACCAGTGACCCCCCACGACCTGAAAATGAAGAAGCGGGTCAAGATAATGTATGGATGAAGCTATGTTAGTTATTGTTATTAGAAACAGGTGTGTAGAACAGGAACAACTGTAATTAACAGTAAATGCATTATTAGCATGTGAATATAAACAGTGATGATTCTGCTTTATAATAAATGGATATGCAGCATGCAACAGGACAGAATGTGTCTTAGAAAATTCATTTTAAAGAGACAGCAGCGCGTTGCAGATGTTTTCTGTCTACAAGGACACATCCTCCTGTGCACAGAGAATGTGCCCTTGGATAAGTACAATAAACTAGTAAACAGACAAGTCTGATGTCTTTTTAAAGGAAAAATGGGAAATTATTTTGGAAATAATGATGTGTTTTAAAAATATACTAACCATAAGTATTTAAAAGTGTTCCGTTAAACACATCAATAATGTGTTTAACGGACAGACAATAGTGTTTGTTGAAAAGAGCCATTATTAAAGAAATGACTGGTTTTAAAGTAACCCATAAGAGGTAGAAATGTACAGTCAGTGACTTGACTCTGACAGATTTTCACTTGACTGGTGATTGATTAATGTAAAGAATCAGAAAAAAAAGTCATAGTAATCAGTTCATTTACACAGGTAACAGTACACATTTGTTTTGCCCATTAAAACAACTTCACTAAAAGTGTCACTGTGTGTGAACAGACTTGGCTTTGGGTGTCCGGTCCCCTCTGTCTCTACTGTGTGGAGCGTTTGTATCGCTACATCTGGAGCAGTGACCCTGTTTCCATAGTAACTGTGATCAGGCATCCCTGTAATGTTATTGAGCTGCGCATGCTGAAGAAGAACTTCAAAGCTCAGCCGGGACAGGTGAGTGATATTTTTTCATTTCACCTCAGTTCTATCTCTTTATGTATTCATTATATGAAGTGTAGCTGTAACTATCAAAGACTTTCTTTGATCCTACATTACTTCCTCTTTCCTGTCATCCTGCTGTCTCTCCATTACGTTCTGCCCATCTTTTTTTTGTCCCCAGTATATTGTTCTTAACTGTCCAGGCGTGTCTTCATTTGAGAACCATCCCTTCACACTGACGATGGTAAAACTAACTCTCTCTAACACATTCCTCACTTGTGACACAACATGAGCCCACAGACATGTCTTCATAAACACACACACACAC